CCTTCTTTGGGATCCCAGCAGACCAGCTGAGACACCCAGCCTCATGGGACTGAGCAGCTGCTAGATTCCTGGACTTTCCATTCATAACTATCCGTTGTTGGACTGCAGCCTGTAAGTCACCCCAATAAATTCATATAGCTATAGATAGAGATAGAGAGAGTCATTCCATGAGTTCTGCGACTCTAGAGAACCCTGACTAATACAGTCAATCTGTTGATTGTGGAACCAATCCCATTCTGAGTTGGAGAAGATTAAGGTGCTCTAGCCTAGCATCAGAAGTCAGTCTGGCTACTGGACCAACTCTGGTCTTCTGCTCAGTTCACACTAAGTGGTAGTCAAAGCAGTGCAGCTAGGAAGACCTTGGGGAGACGTGCTATGGTGAGAACACTTGCGAAGACAAGAGGACATCCCATGTGGTAGCAACCTTCAGCAATTTCTTCTCCCAGTGGTTAGATCTGACTACCTGTCGACTTCTGTTTCTTCCTTTCTCTTACAACCAAATCTCCATCTTGTTCTAATTCCTATATCTATGCTTTTTCCTCAGTTTCCCACAACTGATTCTGGGTTAATTTTCCAATAGCTGTGTTTTTATAACTACAAAGCAAAAAACAAGATTTATCATCATGTGCTGGCAAGAAAGGTAGGCACACCAGTAGAAAATGAGCTTGAGGATTGTAGAATAGGGGCTGGCATATAAGAAAATGACCTTGAGGATTGTAGAATAGGGGCTGGCATAGAAGGCTATATTACGTGGCATGTAGATATTCACCCATGATTCCGAACTTGATATTTTGTCAACACCTGTGAAGCTGGCCTAAGAGTTTGCTGGGGTAAGTTTCTTAACATGCAGGTTTGAAAATGACTTCTGAAATAAGACAGAGACATCAAAATTTCCTTTCTATAGAGTAACAGGTCAATGGGCTCAAGTATATAAGAATGTTGGAAAAGATTTGTGATTGATAAACTCACACCCCAGCACCTGACTATCTTCCCTAGTAGAGCTGAGGATATTTTGTTTTCATCTTTGATCAATGTTTTTTTTTGATAGACCTTTGATAGTGGTTATCTTGTATAAACTGATGTTCAGAGAATACTGCCTTGGAGCTGGGGTCTCTACTAGGAAACGGGTGCAATGATGGAAGTACAGTCGTGACCACATCAAATGTCTGAAGTGTATAATAGATGCTGTGGTGTCCTGCCTAAATCCCTCACCCATGGCCAAGCATCGGCCGCTTGTGAGTGCTTCCTGAGGGCTCCAGGAGGAATAGGATCGGGAGACTCCTAATCAGAAAGTCTAGGGAAAAGGCTCATGAAAACCCCGTGGAAGTGGCCAACAGTATGCATTCCTCCAGGCACAGATGAATGACGTACAGAGGACGCCTGCCAAAGAAGGGGTCTTAGACAGGAATAGAGCCCAATCCACCCAACCGACGTCAGGCATCCTTCTTCCCTAACTGTATCCATGGTTTCTCAGTAGGCCTGTTGGCATAGTAGCCACGGTAGAAGGCTACTACCATGAGGCTGAACCTGGCGCAGTAGTATGGGTCCTCTCATCAAATCTGACCTATCTCAAACCTGTAGGAGTAAAGATGGACACTGAACCCTCTGGCAGCCATCATTCCTCAGGGAAACCGGCCAGATACATGGGAGGAGAGCAATTACATCTGACCTTTCAGGTAACGATGGGATTTGCCCTTACTGGAATCACCATACACTTGACTAGGGTCTGCCTTACCTGCTTGTGGAATATGTGCCAGCATCACCATCTGGTCTACCAATAATCTTTCCTCCACAAATTACCCTTGGGCTAATCACATCTGCAAAAGGAATATGAAGACAATTCATAATGAAAGGTTCATCATAAGCTTCATTATTCAGAAACACATAAGTAGCTTATCAAATTAAATATTGGAACAGCCTATTGAAAGTCCATGTAAGATGTCATGGTGGAACATCTTACATGGTTGTGGCAAGTATCTTTTGGGAAATGACACATATACTAAATTAGTGGTATTTAGTTATTTTTCTTTTTAAAAGAGATTTAATTTTTAACTATGCATATGTGTGTGTACCTTTGTATGGATATGTGCAGGAGTAAAGGTGCCCTAAGAAGCTAGTGGTGTCAAATAACCCTGGATCTGGAGATATGGGTGGTTGTAAGCCATCTGACATGGATACAAGGAACCAAACTCTGGTCCTCTGCAAGAGCAATACACATTCTTAAACACTGAGCCATCTCTCCAGCCCAGCATAGTTCTTTATCCTCAATAGCTAGAATATAGAGGAAGCAAGACAAAGCCTGGGCATCTTCTAATGCATTCAATGACTGATTTGGGGGATTTATCCTTGTTACATAATAGATAACATGTGCATATATGTTGTATGTAATAATGTATATACATACATACTTGCACACACATGCATTAATCATGGATATCCTAGTTGTACTGTAAAGCATACATTAAAGATCCCAGAGGCTGAAACTATGCCTTCCATCTAAAGCAATGTTCTACATCTATGACATTTAGTTATTAACATTAGTAAGAGGCTGATTATACTGTTCAAGAGTAAGACGTTTTACTTGAAAACGACAAAAAAAAGACACATGCAGTCATTACAATGTGAGCTACCATCATATGGGATATGCAATAATCCCTCTAGCAAGCTTAAGATTTACATATTAATGGCCATATTGGAGAGCAGGAAGATGCCTTCATAGTGTCGGTGAGGTTTTTACAGCTCAGAAGTGCCTCCACTACTTGGTCCAGTTACTTGTGTGTGTGCTGGGGAGGACAACTCTGGTCTGTGGGCTCTCCTAGACTCTGTTCTTTTTGTTGTGAGCAGGAACGTACAGAGATTAATAACTGAGGAAGAGAATGTTTGCTCAGCTGTTTGGCAGCATCTTTGTGACTCTCTGTGTGGGTCTCCTGTGGAGTAGATATGCCCCGCAGGGAAACACTGCTGAGGCTTTATGCTTGAGCATGTGACTAGCCAGCTGTCAGAGACAATGGTAACCTTAAAATTCCTACTCAGTGAGGACCGAGTTGCCATCTGTAGTCTCAGGCTACAAAGGGGATGTAGTTCAGTCACGAAAGTGCTTGCCTAGCGTGCACAGACCCTGGGTCCCAGGCCCTGCTCTCCATAAACCAGGCACAGGAACACACACTTGCAATTTTAATACTCAGGAGACAGAGGTAGAAGGATCAGAAGTTCAAGGTCATTCTTGACTATACAGTGGGTTAGAGGCCAACCTGGGTTACATGAGTGAGATCTTACCAGATAGATAGATGGATAGATGGATGGATGGACAGATGGACGGACGGACAGACAGACAGACGGACAGACACATAGATAGATAAATAATAAAAAGAAACAAAATCTGTACTCTAAAATTATAGCTTTTACATTGTGCAAGACATAGATAATGCATATTTCTTGAAGTGTTAGTGTGGGGAGGGCTTCCTTGACAGTTAGTCTACAACTCTTCACTATGGAAAGCTAAAGCAAAAAAAGCAACTTTTGGACTAAGGGAGACTACAGGGAAGTCAAGGGAATGGAGATTCTGGAGGATGGCGTCTTTCTTGCCTCATCCTTTCTGGAGGATGAACTGGGCACCTACTGAAAGGTATTTGCTTGGTGATATGCTGTATGAAGCACCTGCCTTTTTTCCCTCTAAAGATTCAAAACTACAGAGAAAACAGCTTCAGTATCGATGATAATGAAAGATAACAAGAAAACCCACTCCTTAATGAACACTAAGAGGGAGCCACACAGACGGTTACATGGATGTCGCGGAGCCAAGGAAAGGCAGGAAACTGAGCCTGCTTAAGCCTGCATCTTATGATTCAGAAACCGGGACAAGTGGACTATCTTGTCTAAATGGAGGTCCAAGTAGAGGCATTACAGGGCTCAAAGGCTCCGGGTGTCACAGAACTTGGGGTGGAGCTTGCCTCTGAAAAAGGGCCAGAAAGAGATTCCGATTGAAAGAGTTGATACAGTGTCCAGTCATATTGTGCCTGGCTGGCCTCTGCTGACCAGTGTGCTCACTCCTCAGACAGCTCCACAAAACCCTCTCGTCTCCTCAGCTTCTGCTCCAGGGAAACTTCTGGTTCCAGCAAGCTTTCAAGGTCATTTTCTGTGCTTGTGATCTGAAAGAGACCTGCTTTTTCATGGTCCTGTTTCAAAAACAGCTAATAAAAAAATGAAGGGCAAGAAGAACGGCTTAACAGTTCACTTCAGAGGTCATGCATTTGTTCACGAGCGTGGCCAGAGGTCATGCATTTGTTCACGAGCGTGGCATAGCCGTAGCACAGTGTATGCACATTTGAAAACATTATGCAGTTTCTACCATAAAAGTGCATAATCTGTGTGTGTCCACTGAAATAAACATCGTTGTACTTTAGTACCCCCTCTCCTGTAAGAACATAGATGCAACTCTCCTGGAGCAGACATGTCGCCAGTAGATAATGATAATGGGTACTAATGTGAAACTGTATCCGACAAAATGAACCCTTCCCCGCATCCCAATAAAATAAAACCTTAAAATCAACTGACCTCAGAAAGAGGAATAAGAAATGATGGCTGAATCAACTCAGAAGAGCTGCAGCTTGTAGCAGTAGAAGGCACGGCAGGGCTGTGGCCCAGCAGGATCTCTCTCCAGATGACCTCGGGCCTTCCACACTGCCCTTACCCTAACTGCATTTTGCAATGGTCCAAATGGTGCTGGGCTTTTGGAGAGGGGTGTGGAGGGGGAGAAGTGGGGTGGGAGAACGGAGCAGGATCTGCTACAGAGATGATTATTGAAAGTTGACAGCTGCCAAACACACTGTGTCCCTGGCAGCACCTGTTGAGTGTCCGTGGTGGCAGCAAGAGTCAGATGAAGAAAGACAGCTGTATACATGCCAACAGCAGCAGGATGCGGCGCTGGACTCGTGCTCTGCCAGCCCAAGATGTGCCAAATTCGCTGGCCCAGATTCAGATGGCTGGGTGTCCACTTGGTGTGCCAGCAAGTAAGCCCGGGAACACATTTGCATTAACACCGCTTGGCCACCTCCCCCTGTTCCTGCCTCCCGCGCTGCATACAACATCGGTCTTCGTCCCAGAATGTCATCTTGAGGCTGCTTTTCAGAACCAGTGTTTCAGCGAAACATGAGGTAAGCCTGATGCTGTGCCGAATTGCCTCGAAGGAAGCCAGCGTCAGCTGAGAGCAAAACAGAAAGGTCCAGCTCAGGTTCTTGGCAGCTGGTTAGAAAAATACGCTGGGTGGTTTCATTGTGTGTGTGTGTGTGTGTGTGTGTGTGTGTGTGTAAGAAAGAACAGATGAGGTTTTGCATTTTATCTCACGCAAACAATGCTCTTACCCAGACACTTTTATTCAAATTCCTTGAAATTTGGGGGGATTTTCAAGTTGACTGGGAGAGTTTCACAAAGACAGTGGATATTATAGGGAAAGTTTAGTTCTGCCTGCAAAATTGCTTCCTAAGACGGAGAAGTGTCCGGCACAACTGTCTAATTTCTTGTCTTTTTTCAAGGCTGTGGGGTGAGTGTTAAGCAATAAGAGACTTCAGATCTAAATGGGGATGCTTTTCTTTGCACAGACTACTGTTTGTAAGTAAGGATATATATATCCTCTTAGCCCTTTTGTGGCAGCATGTAGGTGGTGACAGAGATGAAGCCTGAGGAGTAAAGAGGCCCATAAATCATAGCTTTTCAGAGATCTCTCTGCAACTTTTTAATCTTTATTTATTTGTTCATTTTTACTCTTTTGAGATTATAATGACATTTCTCCCTTCCCTTTCCTTCCTCCAACACTCCCATATACCTCTCCTTGCTCTCTTTCAAATTCATGGTCTCTTTTTTCATTAGTTGTTATTGCATTCATGTATGTGCATGTATATACATATATATTCCTAAGTATAACCTGCTCAGAAGGGACATTGTCCATCATGGTAGAGAAAGCATTGTGGCAGAAGTGGGTGGTGGAGGTCTGCTTGCCTCATGGTGACGGGGGGGGGGGCAGTGCCAATACACACTTCAAAGGCACACACCCAGTCACCTACCTTCTTCTACTAGGTCTCATTTCCTAAAGGCTCCACTTGCCTGCCAACAGCATCATCACCTGGGGAACAAAGCCTTTAATACTTGCACCTTTGAAGACATGTGAGATCTAAAGCTTAACTTATAAATTTTGTGGGTCATGATATGTACATTCTACTTATTGGTCATAAATCATTCAACTTTTCTTACTTTGCATAGTAGTGTGTGTGTGTGTGTGTGTGTGTGTGTGTGTGTGTGTGTTCACACTATTCAAAAAAATATAAGTGTGGCCAGGTGTGGTGGCCCAAGCCTTTAATTCCAGTACTTGGGAAGCAGAGACAGGCTGATCTCAGAGTTCCAGGCCAGTCGGAGCTCCATAGTGAGAACTTGTTATAAAACAAACAAACAAACAAAAAAGTGCAAGTGTGTATGGAATGTAAGGCAATTGGCACAAGATGCCCTTAACCTCAGTTATCTAGTGAGAACAGTGAAACTTTGACTTCATGAAGAGAAACCAAGAACCATTAACACGTTGTTCCTGCTTGATAAAAAGGAAAGCAGTGAATTGGGTAGCGACCCATAAAGGACCATGTTTCTTAACATACTTGACATGAAAACATATCAACCACCAATCTCTACTTAGTAGTCTAGGTTTTAGGAATTATCTTTCATAAGCTTTTCATCTCAGAACTTGACATAAAGTTTACTAAAAAAATTTTAGCTTACCAGTTGCATTTTTATAATAAGAATGTTGTGTTTCCTTAAAATTTTGTATCTAATTGTATTTTGCATCTTGTCTTTTTGCTTTTGTTAATGTGCTGTTTTAAAATGTAAGGTATTGGGGCTGGGGAGACAGTTTGATGTTTAAAACACTTGCCATGCAAGTTTAAGGACCAGAGTCTGGATTCCCAGGACCCACATAAAAGATGGGTGGGCCTGGCAGTTCACCTGTAAGGCCAGTGCTCATGAGGAGAGACAGGATCCCTAGGGCTAGCTGCCTAACTAGACTCGCCAGATCATTGAGTTTGAAGTTCAGCAAGAGATTCTGCTCAATAAATACAGCATCAAGCAATCAGTGAAGTCACCTGAACCTACACACACACACACACACACACACACACACACACACACACACACACACACACACACACCTGCATACATCTGTCTGCACATACACACATATGCACATACATACACAGACATAAAATGTAAGGTATCTTATGTGTGCATGTCTCATATCCATGCTCTCAGAGACCATGATGATGGGAACTTCTTCAGCATCCTAGAAGAGTACGAAGCTCAGGAGAGCACCAAGCTTAGCAAAGCACCAAAGTTCAGTGGGCTGCACCTGGTAGTCAGTGTGGGAAATGTGGGTTGATTGCCACTCGGCACACTGTTTTCCTTTGTAAATACCCGACAGCTTTACTCCCAATGACTTTACTCATCTAGATAAGCAACATTCAATACAAAAGTGGATCTGTTGCCCCCCACAAAAAAGGGACAAAATGTGCATTCAAGCAAACTGTACACATTATGAAGGTGCAGTACTTCTAAACAGTTCCCAATCACTCAACTTTAAAACTCCTCAATAGTCCTGTCCTGCAAAGAACTTCATATATTTTGTGGACTTTTTTTTATAAGTGTGGTGGTTGTTCTCTTCTTTTGTAGCAAATCCAGAAAGCATTAGTGTCTAGATATGGATTTATCACAGGTATTATCTTTTGTTGTTATTATTTTCATTCTGTATTTCACATTAATTTATTTGGCTTTAATAGATAAAGGAAGCTGTTCTGGTGTTTGAAACCAGGAAAAGGTCTGCCTTCCTTTCTGAAGTTTATGAACTCTGTGGCCCCTCACTAGTTTTGAATATCCCCCTTCCCAGTAGCAAGCTATCCCAAAGGATGTACAATGTATGAGACAGTCACCCCTAGGCTTGGATTTCTTCCTATCCAGATATATGGCCATGTGACTGGGGGTGGGTTTCTTGACTTCTGTAATCCTCAATTTCTTCATCTATAAAATGAAGATAATAGAGATTGTAAGGATTAAGTGAGATAATGAATATCAAATATTTAGCACAGTTCCAGGTGCACATTAAGTACCCAATAAATGTTAGCTGTTCTGATTAGCAGATATTCTTCCAAGCCATGGTTGGATTCCCAGAAAGGGTGCCCTGCTCTGCAGATCCAGCCCGTGTTGACTTGGATGCAGGTCATGGAAGGTATACCTCACAGTCACATTGGCTATCTTCAGCCACACCTTGATTCTCTCTATGTATATTTAAGTGAGAGAAGCCATGAAGATCTACAAATGAACGATGGCCAGTGTAAAGGCCAGGGACTTGTGGAAGTATTTGCAAGAAGCAAATTTCACTGGAGGTTGTATGTGAGTAGCATCAGTATTGACCAAGCCACTCTTTGAAGTAGAAGGCTCCAAGGGTTCCAAGCAGTTTAGACCTGGGGCCTCTAAGAAGATGCCTGCTTCTCTTACGTGTAATCTATCCTAGTTAGAGTTACTATTGCTGTGATGAAAGACCAGGGACAAAATCAAGTTGAGGAGGAAAACATTTATCTGGCTTACACTTCCATATCACTGTTCATCACTGAAGGAAGTCAGGACAGGAACTCAAACAGGGCAGGAACCTGGAGGCAGGAGCTGATGCAGAAGCCATGGAGGGGTGCTGCTTGCTTACTGGCTTGCTTCCAACGGCTTGCTCAGTCTGCTTATTTATAGAACCCAGGACCATCAGCCCAGGGATTGCCCCACCGACAGTGGGCTGGACCCTTGCCCATCCATCACTAACTAAAAAAAAAAAGTGCCCTACAGACTTGACTACAGCCTGATCTTAGGGAGGCATTTTCTCAGTTGAGGTTCCCTTCTCTCAGATGTCTTCAGCTTGTGTCAAGTTAACATAAAACTGGCCAGCATCATATCTGAAGGGATTTATCTGGGTCTTGACCTTACTTTCTAATCAGATTTCTTCGCCAAGATCTTTATGATAGTTTTAGCTTGTCCCACACTTTCTTACTTATTTCCCAACCTTAGGACACTTCTACTTGAGTGGGAGATCTCTCTAGTGTTTTCCTGGGATATCAAATGATGCCAGGTGCTATAGTTAGATCTAGAACATCCCACAAAATTCTACTAAGTTGAGGGCTTGTCCTCAGCTTGGTTCTTTGGGAAGCTTCCTGAACATCTAATGGATGGAGCCTAGTAGGAGGTCTTCTGTCAATAAGGGTGGTCCCTTAAGAGGGATAACGGAATACCAGTCTCTTCTCTGTTCACATCTTTCACCAAATGAATAGCTTCCTTCTCCACACACTCCAGCCATGATCTACTCTACCACATCAGGCCCAAATGTGACAGGACCAAGAAGCCATAGACTAAGACCTCTGAAGCTGGCAGCCAGAATAGAACTTCTAAGCTGATTCTTCCGGGTACCTTGTCACAGTAGGGATTGCTGGCTAGTAGACCATGTGACCTGAAGTGCTCACTGATATCCCTTTCCATAAACAAGGTTGAGAAGTGGCTCCCACCACATCCTTTGTTAAAAATCTTGATCTTTAGGCCAGGTGTGGTGGAGCATGCTTTAATTTCAGCACTCAGAAGGTAGAGGAAGTGGATTTCTGTGAGTTTGAGGATAACCTGATCTACATAGTGGTTTCCAGGTCAGCCAGGCTACATACTAAGACTTTGTCTTAAAAGGAAAGAAAGAGGGGGAGGAAGGAAGAGGGGAGGGAAGGAGAGAATGAGAAAAAAAAGGAAAGAAGGGAGGGAGGAAGAGAGAGAAGGAAGAGAAAGAAGAAAACAATTTCTGACCTTGAGAAGGCGATAGTGAGGTCAATCTCCTAGCATACAAGCTGACTGCTAAGCAATTAGAGCAGTGCAGAGGTGGGTAGGAGGATCTGACATGGGTTCCCTCATTTCTTCTTTTTGTCCTGGGTTATCTGTTGCTCCCGACCCAGCCCTGAATACATCATGAGATTTCAGACACCGAAAGTCTGCCTTCACTGTCAGCCTGGTCTTTCATGTTATTAAAAACAGATACTGTATGTATTTTATTTCTGAGAGTAACAAATAGATATTGAAGTATAAAGAAGCAGGGTAGAGAGACAGCTCAGCCATTAAAAGCACTTGTTGCTTCCACGGGTTCTGGGTTCCATTCAGTTCTCAGAACCCACAGGATGGCTCACAACCATCTGTAACTCTAGTTCCGAGGAATCCAGTGCCCTCTTCTGATCTCTGACGGTACTACACACACATAATACACATCCACAATGCACATACATACATGCAAGCAAAACACTGTATACATAAAATAAAATAAACAAATAAAAATAAAACCAAAAGAATTTAAGCCTACTACCTAGTAACAGTAACATCTGCAAGCTTAGTGGAATATTTGCTGTTACTATTTTTAACACAGAGAAACCTATGTTTTTGTTTTTATAAGAAATGAAATGTATGCATCAGAAGGAACTAAACTTTGGTGGCAATCACTTCAAATTCTATCACCAAACATAGTTTAAGGAGATATTAGACAAAACATGTTGGATGCATTTTTGTGGAGAAAGCAGCTTGGGGAAGGAGGAAGGGAGAAAGCGGGTAAGGGAGAGAGATTGGAGGAAGAGAAGGGAGGGAGAGAGACATTTATCAAATGTACTTACTGTATTTCAAGAGGTAATATTTGGGAGCTAAGGGAAGAGGATTACTTGAACTAGAAGTTCCAGGCTACCTTGGGCAACTCAATAAGACTTTAGTTCTGAGACAATATGAAAGCTGAAAACTGAGACCATAATCTAGAACTATTTGTTTTTAAGTCAGAGTTACCCGTTCACTCAAACAACCCCCTCACACAAAAACAGTAATATCTATATTTTAAGCTTCTCCCTAAAGATCACTGTTTTTGTCTTTGACATTTTTTAGTTCAAGTTTATAACAAGCTTCACATCATATAGATATGGGTTTGGGACCTGCTGCTGACCATCTTTCAAGTGTTTCAGAATATATTATATCCAAAGCTACAGCTGACTTAGCATGCTCCACGTGTGTTTTGGCTTTGGAATTCCTGTGTCAGTTCTGTTGGGACACTCTGGGATAAGGAGGCAGAGTCAGAGCCGTGCACACGCTGGCTCTCGGAGGATGGCGCAGCATCTCTGTGGACCCTACACCCCGAGTGTCTCAGTCTTTAGTTCCTGCCTTGATACGCGAGTCTCTCTTCAAACAACTGTGGGGCTCACTGCTGCTATTAATCTGTCTCTGTTGCCAGATCCGTAGCTTCAGAGTGAGGAAATATTATCTGAGCAAATATTTAAGCAGAATTCTCTACACTGCACTGGTTCATTAAAGAAGAGTTTTCCCTCAGTTTGTTCTGGAGTAAAGTGAAATGCCCCAAACAAACACACTCTCTAGCTCCCCCAGGACTTTTTTTTTTTTTGCCATAGTAGGAAGACAGCATGTCTCAAGAAGAAAGGCTTGATGATGGTGACTCCCTTCTCCTCTTGGACACAGTGTGCTGGGGAAAGCCCAGTGAATAGAAAGTGATAGGACAAAGTGGGGTCTGTGTGTGTTAGTATTTCTAGAGTACTGGATGGAAAACAAACTACCTGTCTCACTTATTTCATATTTGCATAGCTGATTTTAGGAAGTTTTCTAGTTTCTTTCTTAGAAAATATTTATTTTGTGTGTGCGCACAAGCGCGCGTGCATGCGCATGCACACGCAGCTCAGAGGACGACTTCCGAGAGTCTGTTCGCACCTTCCCCCCAGCTGAGGCAAGGTCCCTGTTCTTTGTGCGCTGTGCTGCCTGCTCTGGGCTAGCTGGCTCTCTGGTCTCTACCTTTCTTCTGGGAGCAGATGTAGTGAGATTACAGATGTGCATCACTGCGCTGGGCTTTCGATGTGGGTTCCAGGAATGAAACCTGGGTTTTCAGAGTTATGTGGCTAGAGCTTTTACCCATGAGCCATCTCCCCAGCCCGACTGTGCTTTTCTTAAAAGCATTTGTGTTGGGAGCAATGACTTTGAGCTGGCTCTACTCCTGTCAACAACCACCCCCTAATGTTTTGTCAACACTAACCTCAGGAGCGCAAGGCACAACAATCCATTCATGAAGAGTTCCAGCACAGCAGATCTTCAGCTTCTGACCTGACCCAATTAGTAGAGGACATTCGGCTCCAGCAGGCCAGACTGCTCCTGAGAATATTCCCCATTACACTTTATATCTACATCTACCAAGAAAATGACTGCTACTTGCTCCTACCACACTTACGTTTTTGTCGAATAAAAGCCATGGATCTCTATTCTCTACTTCCAGAAAGCCTACACTCTCGGTATCTCCAAGCAGATATATCAATTCTATTATTAAGACCTGCAGTGAAGGTTGTGGTGTGTGTGTGTGTGTGTGTGTGTGTGTGTGTGTGTGTGTGTGTAGTGGTTTGCTTGAGGATCTGTTGAAGTTGGGTTATATAGATTTGGGTTTTTTTTTTCTTTCTTTCTTCAAATGCTTATTTAAAAGAAAGCGACTGTTTATTATTTGGGACCACAAAATTGTATTTGGAATCAGAGATAAAAATATCAAACTCTCATCTTATATTTAAAAATAGACATTTTATTATATTGAGGGAAGAACCCATCTAGCTCTATCTTGTTATTTTTTTATCACAAAGGAGAGAGAAGTGAAATCCGACTTTAAAAGGCTGTGGAACATTGCGCATTTAAAGTACTCAGCAAGTTACTCCCTAAAGCACTCCATATGATATGTAAATCTTTTGATCTTTCACAAAATGCATGAATACTATAAAGAATAATGAGGACAAGCTTGGAAAATACAATATTGACTGTCAGTGCAGCACTTAGCCACAATTATTATTTGCATGGCTTTTGCAACGTAACCAGGGGGGATATCTCTGTGAGTGTGTGAAAACCGTGCCAGTCCCTGCAGAAGACGATCGGATTTTCTGAGGAAGATTTCTTTTGCCCTTCCCCATCCTTTAGTTATTCTTTCGTTCCAAAAACCCTTTTCTGAAAACAGAGGGAAACCTTTGGAAAGGATAAAATTGACGGGAAGTTAAAGAGAAGCTTCGCTCCCCCATTGTCATTAATTATCATATGATGGATAACCTAAGTTGGCTTTGGGAAGTATCACTCCATGACACCCTGCAGAAAGAATATTTAAAACCTGCTAAGCTGCTCTTTGTAAAAAAATCTTTATTTGAAACTTAGGTTAGCAATCTGAATAACATGTTTTCCTCAAGCTTAGTGTGAGAATAGTTCAGCTGACATTTCTGAATGTTTTATGAATTACAAACTCTGAACTGTAGCATTTATTTGTAATGAGCAAGTAACAATGATTGTAGATGTCAGTGAAGATTTTGATGGTTGAAGCCACTTTGTTATAGTCAAAATAGGTAATGGGCTGTGTTGTTGTGTCTGGTTGAAGTTATAGGACAGGTCCTGCCGGCTTCATCCCATCCGAAGAGTACAGAGCTGCTCTCTAGGGACAAACGGCTTATGGGTGGAGGCAATGTACCACAGCTTTTGGGAGTAGTTATACAAATGAGAAGAAAGGTAGATTTCCAGGCTGAGATAGGTGAGCCCAAGATGTCAACACCAGGATTCTATCCGACACGGTCCAGGTACCTGGAGCATAACTTGGATGCATGACTATAGATATTTTATTTGTTTGTTTGTGTGTGTGTGTGTGTGTGTGTGTGTGTGTGTGTGTGTGTGTGTGTGTGTGCTATCTTCCTGGAGCTGGAGTTACAGGCAGTTGTGAATAGCTGTGCTGGGAACCAAACTCAGGTTCTCTGTAACCACTGAGCCATCTCTCCAGCACTGATATAAGAATAGATTTTGATTTTAAAACTTGTACAACTACTGCAAAGAGCCTAGAAAATCTAAAAGGATTTTGAAGAGGAAAAATTTAGAGGACTTTGTTATCTGATTTAATAACTTACGATAAAGCTACGGTAATGAGGACAGATGGTATTTGACATAGAGGTAAACAGACAATAAAATAAAATGGAGAGTCTATATTATAACTCTGTGTGTGTGTGTGTGTGTGTGTGTGTGTGTGTGTGTGTGTGTGTGTGTCCACATGCATGTGCTCATGTGGCACTCAGGAGAACTTGCATTGGTTCTCTCCCGCCATGTTGAGGCGGGGTCTTGCTTGTTTCTGCGCATGCCCGCTCCTTTCCCGTATCGCTGTCTATCTTGCCACAGGAGTGCCGGGTTTACAGATGCGTACTTTCTTCCAGCATTCCAGGTATTGAACTCAGACCCTTGGGCTTCCACATCAAGCACTTTTACGATCTGAGCTTGTTTCCTACTCCCATGTGACTTTGGATAGAGGATCCACGACAGTCTATCTAATCCAGCAAAAAGTTTTCTGCTGAGTCATGTTGAAACATGACATCCACATAGGGAAAGAACTCACCTCAGTCTGCCATCACACCATCCACAGCAAACAGTCAAGGTAGGTCACAGGCTAAGAATCGTAGAACTTTGAGATGTATTTTAAAGTGCTTTATTTATTATTGCTAATGTATGTATGTGTGCTCATGTACACATGGTGTAGACAGGGCACTAGTGCCAGAATGTGCATGGAGCATCCATCCAGAGGACAACTCCGTGGGTTTCTTTTCTCCCTCCTCCTCCACATGGGCCCCAGGCATCAAGCGCAAGTGGCCAGGACTTGAGGGCAAACACCTTTACTCACTGAGCCATCCTGCTGACTCAAGCTTTAAAATATTTTAGGAAGTATAGTAAAATGTTTCTGAAAACTGAATATAGAGAAAAGTTTCTCAGGGGATGCAGAAATCATAAACAATAAGATAGAAAAAATATGATGAATTAGATTTCATCAAAATTTAAAATTCCTACTCCTGAAAAGACATCGTGAAGAAAATAAAAGAGCTGAAAATATTTATAAAGTATTTATCTGGTGAAGAATATGTGTTCTAAGTGTGTATATATATGGAAGAGTGGGTGCATATGTCCAAAATACACTGTATGAAACTCTCAAAGAATTCAAAATATTTTAAAAGTATGTATAGAATGTATGTAACTCAAAACATAAATAACTCAACTTAAAAGCTAAAAAACTATTTGAGCAGTAACTTTATGAAAGAAAATGTATAAGTGATCAAATGTGCTCAAATAAAAAGCCTTCAAGTCATTTTTATAAAAGACATGCAAATTTGAACCACAGTGAACTATCAGTTCACATGCATCAGAACAGCAGAGATGCAAGACTGCCGTCAGCCATGAGGATATGGAGCTGCTGGCATTTCCACAGTGTTGGTGAGTGGGCAGAACTCTCTTACATAATGAATATATCAAAACCCACATTCTCACTCAACAATTCCATTCCCTGGTGTTTACCCATGGGAAAATAAAGTATTTAAAACATTGTTGGGAAGACTTTTATACCAGCTTTACTCATAACAGTCAAACTCCAGAAACAACTCTGGTGTCCATCTACAAGGACTGAATAAACTGTGGCAAATACATCCATTGTTTTGCTACTTAGCAGCAAAAAAAAAAAATGAATTACTGAAACATGCAACATGTGTAAGTTTCAAAAGCATTATGCCAAGTGAAAGAAGACAGGCACTAATTATACGATTCCATTACAGGAAATTCTGGAGTAAGCAAGACTGATCTAGAGTGCTTCTGGGGTACCACTGCCAGGCCTGACCTGAGTCCACAACTGAGACCCACATGGTGTTAGGAGGGATCCAACTCACAAAGTTGACCTCTGGTCTTCACACACTACACCCCAGCACACACACACACACACACACACACACGCACACACGCACACGCATGCACATTCACATACAACTGGTGTCCTTTATAAAAAACAAATAGATGGAGAGTTGGCTCAGTGGTTAAGAACATGTACCGCTCTTCCCGAGGACCCGAGTTCGGTTCTGAGCACCAACATCAGGTGGTTTACAACCTCCTGTAGGTCCACCTTTGGGCATTTGATGTCCCTTTCTGCCCTTCACAGGAACTGCATTCATGGTCACAAACATAATTTTAAGTAAATAATAAGTTATGAAAGGTAAATTATTTATGAAAAGTATAAATAGTTTTCATTATTGTAGATTATGCTTTATTGTCTACTCATTTAATATTTAGGGGAAATTGGGCAAGTTGAGGTTTTCCTTCATTTGACTTACTTAGCTGATGGATGTTCAAAGTATACTGGCTGTCTTTAATAAAAATATGATGCAGTAATTTTAAATATATGAATGGGATTAGTACCTCCCCCTTTTTTGTTTGTTTGTTTGTTTGTTTGTTTGTTTGTTTGTTTTGAGACAGGGTTTCTCTGTGTAACGGCTCTGGCTGTCCTGGAACTCACTTTGTAGCCCAGGATGACCTCGAACTCACAGAGATCCGCCTGCCTCTGCCTCCCGAGTGCTGGGATCAAAGGTGTGCACCATCACTGCCCAGCTTGGATAACCATTTTTATTCACAATTTTAAACTTGACCAATTACCAGGATTGCAAGAGAAAAATATAAAAATAGAGGCTCCGTGGCCATATTCAGACTTGCGAGTACCTAAGAGCAGGGTCTAAACTCTGCTGTTCTAACACACCAGGGATTGCCCTGCAATATCTGTCTGGGCAACTGTGGGCAGTAGCTCAAACGATGGCATGTGTTTTTCACAGGATTTCTGAAGCCAGAATTCTGTAGAGGGCTGGAGATTTGAGCAGTAACATGTCTGCTTTCCAGCCTGGGATCAGATCCCCTGGAGCTGAAATTACAGATATGAGCTACCCAACATGGGTGCTGGGAACTGAACTCAGGTCCTCTGTGAGGGTAGCAAGTAGTCTTAACCACTGAGTGATTTCTCCAACCCCTTCTGGGAATTTTTGAGATAGAGTTTCACCATTTATCATTGGCTGGTCTCAATTCATAATCCTCCTGCCTCAACCTCCCCAGTGCTTGGATTACAGTCACCCACTTTATAAATGATTCCTTCAGAAAAAGAATTCACATGGGTTTCTCTTGCATTGCGTTACACCCTTTGAAACTCTTTTCTTCGTTCTGTGTTTTATACATTGGTTAACTATTCTCTAGTAATTTACTGTAGCAGACTACATTTTATACACCTTCAGCCCCTCCCCCCAACATTTCATAATTGGCTTAGCAGCTTCATTTTCTCCCTTTGGAGAAGACAGGCCAGTCTAGTAAAGGAGTCTGAAGCAATTTTTTTCAGGGGAAAAAAAAAAAAAGAAAGAACTATTCTGAGGATTAGAAATAAAGTTTTATTTATCCATGGCTAGTGATTATTTTTTCTTGCTTATCAAGAGCAAAATGCCAACAGATAATGTGGATCAATATAAACAGGATCTTTAGGCAGTTTCAAATTTCATTGGTTTATCCTTCCAGAGCCAAAAGAGCCACTTTTAAGATCAAATCATGCAGATGTAGGGCCTCTGAAAATCCTTTTTCTGTATCAAGGACAGGAGACAAGCCCGTACATGCACTTTCTTGTTTACAAATGTCTTGGCAATCTTTCTTTCATTTGATGGTGCGTGTGAGAAGAGTGTGAGGAAAGCACAATGCTGTGCTAGACTTCTAACATGACACTCAGTTTACCTCTTAAATTACCCCCTGAGAGAGACTTTTTTAATGTCAAGATTAGCAAAACTCCCCCTCGAGTCTTTAAAGTCAGAACTCCTAAGTGTTCTGCCAAGACTTTATCTATAATGCCATCAAACCTGTTCTCAGCGTCATTTCCTTGAGCAAACTTGTTTGTGGAGTCACTCAAAATCTAGAAGCCTGAAGAACAATTGAAATCTCTGAGCAAACTTCTGGTTAGGATTCTCTTGTTCAGCTGTAGCTGATCCGTGGCCTTGATTTGAACTACTGACATGTGTTTGACAATTACCTCGGCAGGGGAGTGGACATGCTAGCTGAGAAGGCGTGTGAACGGCTGCTGGCGTCAGCATTCTCTTCCTCACGTGGCAACAAAACCATCAAGAGTCTTGTGAGACAGGACCTTCGGGCTTTAATTAATGAATTATTTTTAATCTATTTCCTTTGCAACGGACTCATTTAGACTCTTCGGGATCATTTTTGAAAAAATAAAATGGTTCTCTAAATAGAAATCAGAAAAAAATCTGGACTCATGAACTTCTCGCACCATGGCTCTGAAGCATGAAGGCTCCAACCCCAGGGGTCACTCTGAGTTACTTGTTTTTGGAAAACATGCTTCTTCCTTCACTTATTCACTCAATAAACATGCATTATGCCAGCTATCTGCCAAGTTCTGGAGCAGACCTGAGATATGAAAATGATTAGCAAGTAATCCCAACCTTGAAGGAATTCAGTTAGGAGAAACAGACGGACAAACCATTCTTACGCTGCAGACAGGTCGGGAGGACTTGAAGCCCATCCCTGGGTCTCTGGCTGCATGAACAAGGAAATGGGCGCTAAGACCACAAGTTGAGGGGAGAGCACTTCACAAAGCCGTTTATTGAGACCACATTTCAGCCGGTTTGAGATTTTTTTATGAGAAACACCCCCCCCGCCCCTGCTCCCCCCGAAATAACCGGAAGACTGGCCAGCCTGAAGCATGAACGGTGGCCTCCAGAGGACAGCATACATCCGCAGAGGCTAAAACTCTGAACCTAGAAACAGCAGCTCTTGAGAACAGGCCCCTCAGGGAGGTGTAGAAACAGCACTAGCAAAAGGCACAGAGGAAGCGTGGTCTGAAGAGGCGTGGATAGAAGAACAGGACCAGAGAAGAGGGGCCCTGGGCGATACCGCTGCCATGGATACCCTGTAGCCGTAGCTCCAAACCCTTCTTCCCCTGGCTGCATCATTGAACATACAGGCCAAAGAAACTTAAATACTAAGTTAAATACTTCAAGGCAAAGTCAGCCCACGGGGAATTCATCTCCTTTCTTGATTGTCACACTGATGGAATTTCTATTTAAAAAAAAAAAAAAAAAAATGTCGTGTAACAAGACGCTGAGGGTGGATCTCGGGATGTGACGCGCAGGATCAGCAGCATATGCTCCTACTCCCCACCCCCACCTCAGGCCCCACTGCCATGGAGCATTTGCATGTTTCCATTAGTGGTCAGAGGGATCCATTTGCGTGGGCTTTGCACCTGGTATCCCTAAATATGAAAGGCAAAAGGACTATTTCAAGATGATTTCTGCCCAAGTACCTGATTACTTAAATAAAAACGCATTTATTGCCGCTGCAACCCGGCGGCCTTGAGAAACTCTTCACACTGATTTGTTCTGACTGTATGCCACATCCTAAGTTCTTTCTAGCATTAACAAGCTACAAAGGGCATTCTCCAAAGAAATTGTAGGCATGTCTGTATATCAAAATCTTCCTTTAGAGTCAACTTTTTTGGTGTTTGGTGTGTGTGTGTGTGTGTGTGTGTGTGTAAGTTTTCTTATTTTGATTGACAGCTCATAATTACACCAACAAACACTCCTGGTCACACAAACAGATGATTCTCAGATGAACCTGCTGGAAAATCTAAAATGACCAAGACCTACATTTTTGGTGGGGGCTGGTTTATTTCATTTACCCTTATTACTTTTTTTTTTTTTTGGTGTTGACTACTCTTGTGCCATTTGTACCCCAAATTTGAAATCATCAAAAATTCATTTTATTAAAAATTAAGTCATTTTTTTAAAAAAAAAAAAAGCAAAGCACTATTCATTACTGACAATCTTACTTTAATTTAGACTACAGTTGCAGTGTTGCTTAGCAATAATCATTTTATTCAGATTCCAGTCAGAATAAACTATCTCTGATAATAAAAGATTAGAGGCTGGAAAGTTGAGAGCAGGTTGAAAATCAGACTTTGGGGTCACGGCTGAAAGAACATCTTTGTATGGTCACTGAAACAGAGGATTTAAAAAGAAACGTGACATCATGCATGATGTCAAATCCACAAAGAATCGATAAAAGTTTTTTGTTAAAAAAAAAAGTAGCTATACTTTGTTTTAATCTCATCTTTCTGGTGTATCTGCAAAGTCCAGTCCATTTGATAACTATGTTAGCTCGTGTAAACATTGACAAAGGAACCTTACAACAGTGGCTTAGAGAAGGTGGCCCTGCGTCCAGCGGCATGCACTGATGGGATGGTTCTTTTCTGGACAACCTTTAAGGAATCCATCTCGTTCTGCGATGTCCTTTCCTGACTTGTGGTTGTGTCCACGCTCCACCTTAGCGGAGAAGAGAGGACATGTCAGAGGAGGTGACTTGTCTATGAAATCAATGTCCCAGAAGTTGGGACACTGGTCCCTAGGTAGTCACATGGCCACACATAGATTCAAGGAATGCTGACATGCAGACTCTAATTGGGGTCATATCTTCCATTAAAACAGCAGGACCAGGGAAGAAAAAGAGAACAGATTCTCACCAACCAGGGGCTTTGATCTGTGTGGTGCATTCTAGCAGATATGTTATAGTTCTGAGTTTGGACTTAGCACATAGATAATTAAAATGCATTAAAGATAATATTATAGAAAATGGGAACTAGAAGGCAGTCTGTTCCCAATGGATATTTTTAAAAGACACCTTAACACAGAAAGACAGCCAAAGGCCCAGAGTTTACATAAACACATTTGAATAGGAGATGATAGTGTTGCAAGACAAGTGAAAGTCGTTGATTTACCATGCCTCTCTCCAAATGAAAATAAGGTCACCCTGATTCTGAGAGGCCCTATAGGAAAGGGAACGGATTCTAATTAGGATTAAGAACATTATCTCTCTCCAAATGTCTGCAAGCATACAATGCTGGTTCTGTCTATGGCTATACCTATAATTTTGCAATATGACTTTTTAAAAAAAGAGGATACAATTTGGTAAACTGATAACTAATTTAGATAATGCTAATTGTATTGGGTAAAAAGTGATTAGGGAAGTCATCAAAGAAACCTCAAGTGTGCTGTGCACTGAAAACATGAATATTGTGTGAAGCTTTGATCCCTTCCACAGAGTAGAGGTGATTCCTAGAGGTGCCTGTGTTAGACAGCGTCGAGAAGAGGTGCTGCTGGAGGCAGAGGAAGGGAGCAGCCTGACCACACTGACTCGGGACACACCAGACTCGCTTTTAAATTTCCTTCTGTAAGTGGAGTGTGTGCATTTGCGCACACGGGAGCTAACAGTGCAGCAGCATCTTCTGCCTTCATAATTACAAGTCACCCCCTGCATGAGCATTTCTAGCAGAGACTTCCCACTTCCTTCCCAGGCAAAACCAAATAGCTCAGATATTAAGTTAACTCTCTTGATTTTATCCAGTTACCAATTTTTAGAGGATTTGTTAACAATTTGTTTCCTATTTGAGGCGAACGTAGCATTGTGATGGCTTCTTTTTGGTATCAACTTGACTGGCTTAGGGGATATCAAGCTAGCTAGCAAAGCATTTGTTGGGCACCAGAACTCCAGGATTTCTGGACTCCTCCAGCCCTGCCCTAGCTCTTATGCTTCTAGCCATAGAACAAGGGCTATGCCATCTGCTTTCTTCCTCTGGTTTCTTTTGGCCTTGGACCAATCCCTCTGTTTCTCTAGCTTCTAGCCTACAAGTAATCTATTATAGGTCTTGTCAACCTCTGAAATTGTGTGAACCAATTATTTTTTTTAAAAATCCCTATCATCTATCTATCTATCTATCTATCTATCTATCTATCTATCTATCTATCACCTATATACATATTTGTCTGCCTATTTAAGGATAAACCCCACTGTCTCTTCTTTCACAGTGTGCAAGATATAAATTCATATATATGTATGCATGGTGTGTATGCATCTTATTGATTCTGTTTCTCTGGAAAACCTAACACGGTGTGTGAATCTCCACAAGTATGTATTATTCTAGTTCCGGTTCTGTTGCTGTGATAAAATACTCTGACAAAATCAACTTAGGGATGAAAGGGACTTGTTCCGGCTTAAAAATTCCAGGGTAACAGTTCATCATTGTGGGGAAGTCAAGCCAGGAATTTCAAGCAGCTACTCATATCAAAGCCACAGTCGAAGGCAGTGAGAAATGAATACATATATGCTTACTTGCTTGTGTTCAGCTTGATTTCTCTGCTTCTCCATCATTCAGGAATCCCTGCCTAGGAAATGGTGCCTCCCGAGGTAGGCTAGTTCATCCCACAGCATTAATTTAATTAAGACAACCCCCCAAAGACACACCCACAGACTAACCTACATGTAATCTACTCTACCCAGGTGATTCTAGAGTATGTCAAGTTCTGTACAGAACGTTTCCAGTGTCTTTTTTAAAAATAAACTTTCTATATCATGAGATGGTCAAAGGGATATATGTGAACTAGCCCAGGTGTTGGATAAACAAAAGGTATGTCCTTTTAAGATCCAACAAACACCCTTAGACTTCTGAAACTCAAGTCAAGCAACCCCTCTCAGCTAATTATTTCTGCCCTTCCTTCTCCACATTGTTTTTTGGCTTTGCTTGAAAATATTTCTTTGGACCACATCTCTAAATCTTCCTTGCCTGTGGCCTTCCAGTTAGACTTGGCCACTTTAGACGAAGAAGATGAGAGGAAAGCCTTCTGGCTCTTCCTTTCCAGGCTCTGTCTCAGGCAACAGCTGGCTCTCTCTGTAACCTGACTGTGTAATGCTTTTCTATTGTTTCATGTCTTGGTATGCCTACTAGCCTGAGTTCTTCTCTTTGACTCTTCATGTCAGTGTGGTAGTCACTTTGCACAGTACCTCATGTTTGGGTACCACATCTGCTGCTTAATCCCTTAGACTAGCTCATGCCTGTATAAAACAGACTTTCCTGAAAATTCCTTCCTCTTGCTCATCTGGAGTGAATTCTGTTTCCTCTCATGACTGTGACAGGGGAGCTAGTTGACAAAGAAAGAGTTGTCTGTAAACTCCAGTTCTTCATCTTTATTTCTTGTGAACTCACTCTAAGTCATTGGAGTGACTCCCGAATCACTCCATCACTTTGGTGTCAAAGGCACCAAAGACATTAATTTCTGATAATGGTCAACTGTCATCTCACTCAAGCTTTCAGCTTTGTTGGGCACTTGTCCCTGAAATCTTCCCATTCCTTGATTTCCTGGACATCACACCTGGACTCCAGACTTTTCTGATACCTTGGTAACCAAACCCTCCCATTGTCCCTGGCTGTATCCTCCCTGTTTCAGAACCCAGATGGCTCTTATCCGAACCTGGTTGCTGTTTCTCATAAGCACTTAGCTGGGCTTCATTGTGAATTTCCACTCTCATTTAGAGGAGTCACAGGTGCAAATTCTAGGCCCGCCTCTCAAGGTCTTACCGTATACCACCATCCATGTTCTTTCTCTCCACATGATACAGATGCTCATGGTGACCTTAAAAACCAAAGCTAGGAGGTATGGAGTAGCTGCAAAGTGAGAGGAGAGTCACTCACCAGACACACATTTGGATTTGATAGAAGTAAGAAATCAGCTACAGTTGAGATTTTGTGGTTTGTTACAGCAGATGGTATCAACTCAACAAATTCACTCCACAGCTTTGGGTCCCTTTAGCAGCAAGTCACCAAGGCTTAGTCCTTAGGTTTCTTCTTCTGTACTCTTTGTGACCTCACCTAGTCACAAACCCAGATGAGTTCAATCCAAATGGTTCAACATCATCTCTGCTTTTGTAAATCAAATTCTTCTATTTGCTCAGTATAAAAATTACCCTTGGGCATCGCAACTCATCTGCTGTTGAATTCCATGAGCTCAGCCTTCTCAATAACAAATAGCTTTCCCTTTGTAGAACTCACAATTGTCATCCTGGTCTTACATCTGCACCTGGGATTCTGGGATACCCTCCCACTGTTTTCTGGCTTCTGTCCTGGCCCTTTCCACTTGGTTTGTAGCACAGTCAACAAAATCAGAGTGTGCCACTCTTCTGCTCCATCCCCTTATAGCCTTGTGTCCCACTCTGAAGGGACATGGGAGCTCTAGAAGGATCAGACACAGCTCTTGATACCTCTCAGACCTCATTACCACCACTCTCGGTCTCGGGGCTTGTCACACAGGCCTGCTGGATGCTCCTCTGTTCATGCCCATCTCAAGACCTCTTTCCTTTCTCCCCTTTCCCACTATAGTCTCAGAACCTTCATGCCTCGGTGCATATACAACCTTAGCAGTAGATTTCCCTGGCCATCCATTTAAATTGCAACCACTCTCCAAATACCCACCTCTCTTCTTTCCTTCATTCACCTTCCAGGTATAACCATCATCCATGATTTATTTGGTTAAA